GATTAGACGACTTGACCAACAGGGTACAATATGTTGAAGGAAACAAGAAGTTGGGAGGATTGAGCTATGAGGATCTGTGCATGCATCCTGATGAAGAACTGCCCGAGGGGTACAAACTCCAAAAATTTGAGACGTTCAACGGCATTGGGGATCCCAAAGCCCACCTACAAATGTATTGTGACAAACTTGTAGGGGTGGGGAGAGATGAGAGGATACTCATGAAGTTGTTCATGAGGAGTCTTACTGGGGAGGCCCTATCATGGTACATTGAGCAAGACTAAAGGAAATGGATAAAATGGGTTGATATGGCAACTGACTTTATGAATAGGTTTGGTTTTAATATTGAAAACGCACCTCATTGGTTTTACATTAAAATTCTGAAGAAGAAACCAAGTGAATCCTTCAGAGAATATGCCATAAGATGGAGGTCTGAGGCGGCTAGGGCCAGACCCCGTATTGAAGAATCTCAAATGAAAGACTATGTCATCCGTGCCCAAGAACCACAATACTATTACCGAATGATGCTGGTGGCTGAAAAGAGTTTTGCTGAAATCATCAAACTAGACGAAAGAATTGAAGAAGGCATAAAGAATGGGACTATCATCAACTTGGAGGCTTTACAACCAACCAACAAGGCTCTGCAATCTGGTGGAATGACAGAGAGTCGAAAGAAAAAAGGTTTTGTAATGATGGCTCATGGAACTAGGACCCCATTAAGGCACACGACAATAAACTCACCACCATCCCCATACCCTCATTATCCCTCAGCTCTACCCCCCTATATCTCCAACCCATGCCAATATATTACAAAACGCTCCTCCTCAATATTTGCATGCCTCATATCCTGTCTATAATGTTCAACCAACATACTTCCAAACTCCACCACCCACTCAAACACCAAATTACCGAAACAGACCTTCCTATGAAAGAAGACCTACAAAACCTATACCCCTTTGGCTGAACCCATAACACAACTTTATGAGAGATTGAAACAGGCTGGGTACGTCTCTCCAATTCCTGCATTACCTGTGGATGTTTGCGCAAAATGGTACGACCCTAACAAGGACTGCGCCTACCATTCTGGGATGAAGGGCCACACCACCGAAGTTTGCAGAGCCCTTAAGGATAAGGTTCAAATGTTGATTGATACAAAAACCATCCAACTCAAGGATCATACACCGAATGCTGCGAATAATCCTCTTCCTAACCATCAAGTCAACATGGTGGAAGCTCGTGATGTCTGGGGTTGGGAAGAATCTATTTGGGCCGTCGAAACAGAAGAAGCCATGTCTACCACTGCCCAAGTACCACTAATAGTGCAAGGACTCTCCCCATTTGAAGTAGAAGTTGCTGCACCCAGACAACTCACTGTCTATAAGGCATCTTCCCCAATACAATGTGATACACATGCTGTAACTTGGGATTACAACAAAAGAGAAATGAATGTGGAAGCGACAGATGTTGCAACAGGGGTCACCAGATCTGGAAGAATTTACACTTCTGAAAATTTGGTTCAGGGAAGCTCTAGCAAATCCAAAACACCAGTCGTAGAACTTGAGGATCAAAGTATTTGGAAAAAGGTTAAAGCTAAAAAATACTCTGTCATTGAGCAGCTGAGTAAAACCCCTTCCCAAATGTCAATTCTGGAGTTACTGCAATCTTCTGAAACTCATCGAGATGCCCTTCTGAAGATCCTTGGTGAAGCTTATGTCTCATCTAACATCACTCATGGAGAGGTATCCCAAATGGTGGGGCAGGTCTTTGAGGCTTACAAAATATCTTTTCACAAAGATGAGCTACCAATCGAAGGAACAACTCACAATAAAGCTCTGTACATTTCGGTTCAGTATCAGGATAAGGTGATAAACAAAGCATTAGTTGATGCAGGTTCAGGTTTAAACATTTTCCTTGTGAGCACATTGACGAGGCTGGGTATGGATAGTGCAAAAATTTAGACATGGAAGATGAATGTGAGGGCATTTGACGGCTCTGAGAGAGGTACTATTGGGGAGATAACCTTGGACATGCTCATTGGTCATGTCACTTTCCCCATAGCTTTCCAAATTTTGGACATCCCTTCATCGTATAACTTATTGTTGGGTCGTCCATGGATTGATATGGCTGGAGTGGTTCCATCTACTCTTCACCAATGCCTGAAGTTTGAATGGGATTACGAAGAGGTTGTAGTCCATGGAGAAAATGGGTATCCTGTATACATGATTGAAGGAAGAGAGAATATGGATGGTGAAATGTACCATACTGCGGATCTTGTTGGTAATATTGAGTTGCAACCTTGGTTCAGCCAAAAAATCATAGATATGATGGCCTGGTTTGGTTTCGAGCTTGGGAAAGGTTTGGGGCTCAATTGCAAGGGATAGTCAAACCTATACAGCCTGTTCGACATTCCACCACTTTTGGTTTGGGGTATAAGTACACCACCGAAGAATGGCTCGATTGGCAACCACCTAGAGATGGGTACTACTATCCATTGAAGAAACCCATACCGCCATTGTATCAATCATTTCGATCAGCAGGTTTCATGGGAGGCAGTATTTATGAGATCTCAGACGACTTGAAGGGGTTATCGCTAACCAAAGAAGAGGGGAAGATTTGCAACGTCGTGATCAATGAGGAGGAGAAAGGGGGCCCTAGTGGAAGCATGGAAGCAAAGATCAACGGCAGCAACAGGACCTCGACTCCATCCAGACCTCCTCGAGCATCTGGGTAGCCTTGGAAGATGTTTTTCTATCAAGTTTTAATTCAAAATAAAGAGTTTTTAATAAATGTTTTAATTCCCATCCCATGTATTGCTTTCGAATGAGGACTTATGAAATTTTCAAATCTTTATGAATAAAGTTCTTTTCCCCATATTTGTCTTATATTTAATTTTTGCTATTTTTTTTCTCACCAGCAAAATTCATTATAAAAATGTCGAATCTGAGACTATGGCATACAATGAGACTGCTCAACTTAATATTAATGACTTAGAAGAAGTCGAAGACAATGAGGTTCCCGAGGAGTTAATCAAAATGGTTGAGGAATTCAAGGGAAAACCCAATCCAAATTTTGTAGAGACAGAAGTGGTGAATTTGGGAAATACAGAGGTGATACAAGAAACCCGAGTAAGCATCCATATGACAAAAGAAGAAAAGAAAGAGTATACCGAGTTTCTCATAAAGAATAAGGATATTTTTGCGTGGTCCTACGCAGACATGACAGGGCTGAGTACTTCAATCGTAGCCCATCGACTGCCCACTGATCCAGCATGTCCTCCGGTAAAACAGAAGCTGAGAAAATACAAGCCCGAGATGAGTCTGAAAAATCAAAGAAGAAGTATCAAAGCAATTAGATGCTTGGATACTCCAAGTGACAGAATACCCAACTTGGCTTGCAAATGTCGTTCCAGTGCCCAAGAAAGACGGCAAGGTCAGAGTTTGCATGGATTACCGAGATCTCAATAAAGCTAGCCCTAAAGATAACTTTCCCTTACCAAACATACATATACTGATTGACAATTGTGCTAAGCATGAAACTCAGTCATTTGTGGATTGCTTTGCCGGCTATCATCAAATTGAGATGCACAAAGACGACGCTGAGAAAAGTGCCTTCATCACGCCGTGGGGCGTCTATAACTACAAGGTGATGCCTTTTGGATTAAAGAACGTTGGGGCTACGTACATGAGAGCAATGACTACTTTGTTTCATGACATGATCCATAAGGAAATTGAAGTTTATGTGGATGATGTCATCATAAAAACAAAGGAATGTTTAAAACATTTGGAGGATTTACGGAAAATCTTTGCCACGCTATGCAAGTACAATGTGAAACTGAATCCGGCAAAATGTGTCTTTGGTGTGCCTGCTGGAAAGCTTTTAGGTTTCATTGTCAGTCGTCGAGGTATAGAATTGGACCCATCGAAGATCAAAGCCATTCGTGATCTTCCCCCGCCAAAGAGAAAGAAGGAGGTAATGAGTTTCTTAGGGTGACTTAACTACATTAGTCGTTTCATAGCCCAGTCTACTGTCATCTGTGAACCTATCTTCAAGCTGTTAAAAAGGGATGTTGCGGTAAAATGGACAAGTGAATGTCAACAGGCATTTGACAAGATCAAAGACTATCTATCCAATCCTCCTGTATTAGTTCCACCAGAGTCATGTAGACCATTACTTTTGTATATTTCAGTATTGGATAATGCTTTCAGTTGTATTTTGGGACAACACGATGAAACAGGGAGGAAGGAGCAGGCAATATATTATATGAGTAAGAAGTTCACATTGTGCGAAGCCCTTTACTCTCTACAAGAGCGTACCTGTTGTGCTCTAACATGGGTTGCCCAAAAGTTACGACATTACCTCTCATCGCATACTACTGATCTGATTTCAAGGATTGATCCTTTGAAGTATATCTTTCAAAATCCCATGCCCACAGGTAAACTGGCAAAATGGCAGAGATTGTTGAGCAAGTTTGACATAGTGTATGTCACGCAAAAAGCAGTGAAAGCATAGACATTAGCAGACCACATGGCCGAGAATCCCGTGGACGATTATTACAGACCGCTGAAGACCTACTTCCCAGATAAAGAGGTGGCTTTTGTTGAAGAGGACATTTCTGAAGAATATGATGGACGGAGAATGTTCTTTGATGGAGCTAAAAAGCTGAATGGATGCAGCATCGGGGCTGTTTTGATCTCACCCACTAGGCAATATTATCCAGTATCAGCAAAACTCAGATTTCTTTGCTCACACAATATGGCCGAATACGAAGCCTGCATACTAGGTCTCCGACGGGTGATTGACTTGGATGTCCAGGAAATGCTAATAGTAGGGGATCGAGACTATTGATCCATCAGGTTCGAGGAGACTGGGCAACAAAAATTCGGAAGTTGTTACCATATTTGGAGTGCGTGCACAGGCTATGTAAAAGATTTGTCAAAATAGAATTTAGACATGTACCAAGGGTCCAAAATGATTTCGCAGACGCCTTAGCCACTCTATCTTCTATGATTCGGCACCCTGATCACAATTACATCGATCCTATTCACATTCATATACATGAACAACCAGCTTATTGTTTCCATGTTGAGGAAGAGCCTCATGGAAAGCCCTGGTACGATGACATTAGAGGATATTTGAAGAGTGGTGAATACACAGAAGATACAACAAGTGTACAAAAGCGTACAATTCGAAGGTTAGCAACCCAATTCTTTTTAAGTGGGGAAATCCTCTATAGGAGAACTCCCGATTTGGGGTTGCTAAGATGCGTCGAAGCAAGAGAGGCTCGCAGGCTGGTCGAAGAGAAACATGCAGGCACGTGTGGCCCTCACATGAATGGTTTTACATTAGCAAAGAAGATTCTAAGATCAGGATATTATTGGCTAACTATGGAGAAAGACTGCATTCTCTACGTCCAGAAATATCATCAATGTCAGACTCACACAAATATGATTCGAGTACCTCCCAACGAACTACATGTCACTAGTTCACCTTGGCCGTTCGAAGCATGGGGCATGAATGTCATTGGTCCAATCGAGCCAACAGCATCCAACGGGCACAGATTCATTCTTGTCGCAATTGACTATTTCACCAAGTGGGTTGAGGCCACCGCCCATAAATCAGTGACAAAGAAAGTTGTGGATGAGTTTGTCAAAAACAACATTATTTGTAGGTTTGGAATTCCTGAGTCAATCATCACCGACAACGGCACCAACCTAAAAAGTGACCTGATGAGATCAATGTGTTAGAAGTTAAAGATCAATCATTGAAACTCTACAACATACAGGCCACAGATGAATGGGGCTGTTGAGGCAGCAAACAAAAACAGCAAAAGGATATTGTGCAAGATGATCGATAATCACAAACACTGGCAGGAAAAGGTACCTTTCGCGTTGCTGGGGTATCGTACCACAATCAGAACTTCCACAGGGGCCACACCTTACTTCTTAGTATACGACACTGAAGTTGTGATACCCACCGAAGTAGAGATACCTTCCCTAAGGATCATCTAAGAAGCAAAGTTGAGTGATGTTGGTTGGATACAAAGTCTGGCAGAGAATTTGGCATTAATAGATGGAAGAAGAATTAACGCCATTTGTCATGGTCAGCTCTATCAGAATAGAATGGCCAGAGCTTTCAACAAGAAGGTTAAACCCAGACATTTCTCACTTGGGCAACTGGTTTTGAAGCGGATTTTTCCAAATCAAGACGAGGCAAAGGGTAAATTTTCACCAAACTGGCAAGGTCCGTTTATAGTCGCTCGAGTACTGACAGGCGGAGCCCTCATACTTGCAAAAATGGATGGAGAAGTTTGGCCAAAACCTATCAATTCAGATTCTGTGAAAAAGTATTACATCTAGAGATTGATTCATGCTTTTTGTAATTTGGAACTACGTCAGACCTGATTCTCGTTTAAAAGGGGATACGTAGGCGCTCCTATGGGGTTCGGTCTTATTATAAATAAAGCTTTCATTTCCCATTTTTCAATTGATAACCGGGGCAGAATTTTTGAGAGGATCTCACAAATTCCATCAAGATTTCTCCTGGCGCATCTTCATACTGGGACCAAAAGTTTCTTCTCAACAAGTAGTCAGCTTATAACGAAGATTAAATGATAGCTCCACTTTTGAGTTAGACGTTGTAAAGTCTCGACCTATGCCATGGTCAATGATTCGACATCAGATTTTATTAAATGATAATTTCAAATTATTTCAAAGTTTTTTTGTTTTTTATTTTATTATTATTATTTTTTCTTTCCTTTCCCCCTTTTAATGAAAAAAACAGACGCTCGAAGAGGTGAGGATGGAAAGCCAAAGGAGCACGCTGCGTCAAATCATGGATATAGATAAACCTCCCCCCTTTAAACTAACTATTTTTCTTTGAATGTAGAAAATACAGGTACTTATACAAAGGCAACTGCAACAATCAACATCACCACATTTGAGCCCGACATATGACACTCGATCTTTCCAACAAGGTGGACGCCCAAGCAACTGTATGCCCTCAAGCAACTACTGTGCTGACAAATTACATATGCCCAATATTGACTAATGCTCGAAGAATAGCATTATTACATGCGCTCGATATTTTATGTGCCCGAGGAAACACATTATTGCATGTGCTCGATATTTCATGTGCCCGAACAAATGCATCATCGCATATGCCCAATATTGACTTATTCTCGAACAATTGCATTATTACATGCGCTCGATATTCTATGTGCCCGAAGAAATTCATCATTGCATGTGCTCGATATTTCATACGCCCGAAGAAATACATCATCGCATATGCCCAATATTGACTTATGCTCGAAGAATTGCATTATTGCATGTGCCCGATATTGCATGTGCCCGAAGAAATGCATCATTGCATTGTGCTCGATATTGCATGTGCCCGAAGAAATGCATCATTTCATGTGCTCGATATTGCATGTGCCCGAAGAAATGCATCCTCGCATTGTGCCCGAGACTGCATTGTGCCTGAAGTTTTCATAAGCTCAAGATTGCATCGTTCTAAAAGTTTACATGCGCCAGAATCAAATCAAGTCACAAGAGTATCAACAAATGTCAAAAACAGATACGCTCTCTTTACTCATTATTTATATTCCAAAGGCTTCATCCTCCAAAGGCGTCATCTTTCATGGCCTGCGGACTTCATGTCATGGCCTGAGGACTTATTTTATGCTTACCATGTCCCTAAGGTATCATATTATAAAGGCATCATCCTCATGCCTTGCGGACATCATATCATGGCCTAAGGGTTTAATTTCTGTCTATCATAATCCGAAGGTGTCATAGTCTAAAGACGTCATTTTCATGGCCTATAGACAACATTTTAATGACTTGAGGATACACTTTGCATATCATGGTCCTAGACATCATAGCCAAAGACGTCATTTTTCAAGATCTTAAGGCAAACATTCATGGTTAACATGAGAATTGCATCATGTGTACATTTATCCGCTTATTTTGATTTATATGTTCTAATTACTCTATTTAGGCTATATTACAAGTTACAAATGTGCACATTACAGACAAAGTCGCCTTTTGAGCGGTTGTTCACCTGTTTACAAACAAAGGCTCTGACAAATTTATGGCTACTCGCACTATCATTTCGCTACTCGTATATCATTCAGGCTACCATGAAGATATCTTCGGATTCAACTCGCCACTGTGACCTACTGTCTCTTCATTTAGGCTCGTCCGCCTTACAATACGACATCTAGGCTCGTCCGCCTTACAATAGGACATTTAGGCTCGTCCGCATTACAATGCGACATCTAGGCTCGTCCGCCTTACAATAGGACATTTAGGATCGTCCGCTTAAAACTACATTTAGGTTTGTCCATCTTATATGACATTTAGGCCGTTCACCTTAAAGGGACATTTAGGCTTGTCCGCCTCATAGGACATTTATGTTCGTCCGCTTTATAAGATATTTTGTATAAAATATTTAGGTTGTCCGCCTTAAAACGACACTTAGGCTCGTCCGCCTTAAAATGGCGTTTAGACTCTCCTTATAACTAGATATTTTAGTCTATAGTATTATATCTTCATAATATCAAATCTATTGGAGTTTGACTTTATTCTTCAGAGATGGGTTCAATCCTTCAAGAAGTTACAGACTATCAAGGCTTGTAGTACGTCTCAAACAGATATGCTTTATCACCTCTTGTCTATTTAATAGAACTCATATTTTATTATTATTGGTCATACTTTATCTATTTATAAGCTAACATTTTATCTAGAATTTGCAGATATGATCAATCGCCCTTGATTACAATTATCATGATATCATCTATCACAACGAGGACCCTATAAATTCTTCGTTCTTCAAACCCCGAGCTTCGCTCAAAAGCTGATAGCCTTACTCTATCATGCTCTTCCTGCTTATCTGTCACGCTCTTCTAGCCTCTCAATCTCTCTTTTCTCGCTACTCTATTCTTATCCATTCAAGCCGATATCGTGCTTTTCAAATACCTTAGCGCTCTTTCAATTTTAAGAGTTTCATTTGCTCTTGAATCTAGAACTACACACGACCTGATTCTCGTATAACCAGAGATATGTAGGAGACTTAAAACCAAAGTCTCGGTCGTATCCTTTTTTTCAACTCTACTTCGCTTCAATTGATCCGCTGACATCTGTCGTCGGTCGGACAAAATCGGATACTAAGTCAACGTTAGTTGCCTGACAATTCATTCTTCATTCCCAATCAACCAAGGGGCAGCTGTTGACACCCAATTTGGACCGAGCTTTAACCATTTTTAGGATTATATTCGACTAAATACGCATTTTAAAATTTACTTAAAGTTTTAAAGTTTTAGTCGATTTTTTCTCAAAATTATATATTTTATTATCATTTACTTTATAAAATTATTGTAAATATTATTTTTAAAAAAAATTATTAATGAATTTCAAATGTTTTAAAATTTAAATGATTTTCAATTATACAAAAATATTTTAGAAATTATTTAAGTTCTAGCCTATTTTATTCTAATTTCTTTCAATTCTAGCCACTCCAATTAAAATTTTATTACAATCATAGCCATCTCATCTGTATCTAACTCATCTAATTTCAAGAAATCATCTTCTGATCTCATTCGTCTATTTAAAATTAATTAAATTCCAGATCAAATCCTAACCCTCCATCTCTATCTAATCTAACGGTTGAGATCATTTTTTTTAACTCTCTTTTAACAGCAAAAGTCCCAAAACCTAAAACTTTTTCTCCCTCCCTCTCCTTGGAAGCATCAGCCTCCCCTCTCCTCTCCAATTTTTCGGCGAACAGAGGTGACACCCCGCTCTTCTCCCTCTCTCCATCTTTCTCCCTTTCCCGTCTCCTCCCCTCCTTCGTCCTTCTTCTCCCTTCCCGTCTCTTCTCTCACCCTCTTCTTCTCCTTCCCTCTCCTTCGTTCCCCCCTCATCTCTTTTCTTCCCATCTCTACCTTCTCGCACCAGGCAGCAGGGAAGCAGCACCAACAGCCAGCTGGAGAGCAGCAGCTCCGGCCACCAGCATCCAAGAAGCCAGCAAGCTCCAACCTTTCACCTCTCTTTTCCGGTGAAAACTAACTTGTCGTCCAATAGCTCCTCTCATGGAACGCCGACGAACATCAGTTTCGAGCCAGAAGATGACGGGTCACTATAGACCCGTATGGGTATATTTAATTCAAATTATTGTATCATTACTTTAGAAACATTGTTTCTCTTTTCATTATACATGTTGGGTTTGATTTTCAGAGGTTAAAATGTCACTGCATGCTCCATTTGGTCTCAAATTGAGTTATTTTTATGATCTAAATTATGTCCTCGTAATTTTATAATTCCCTGTATTGTTAAAATAAGATGCATTCACTTGTAATGTCATATATTTCTCTAAATAGTAGTATTTCGGTTTATTACGTGTGGAATTACTAGTTCTTGATTAAGTTCATAAGCTAGAGAACAGATTATGCCCTTAATTGATTGTTTTCTTAGCTAAATAGAATTGTTTTTTGTTTAATATTGTTTGGCTACAACTCTTAAAATGGATTTCTGTTATTTTGATATTAGGATTGTTACTTGTTAGTATTTGAAAAAATATGAGAGAAATTGTGTGAGTTTGTTCTCGTAATTTTCTCTAATTATAGTTAATTTCGCATTTTATTTATTCTTCAAATTTGGCGTTTTAATTATTTGGTTCTAATAATGCTCTGCCATCATGCTGATATAAGATTTCCATAGATTGTTAATTAGTTTGCCTATCTTATTTAATTCATGGGAATCTCTCTTCCCCATGGTAAGTCTAAAGTCACATATTATTTCTTTCCTTAAAATTTTATTACAAACTTTTAGTTTATATTTTTTATAGTGCTGACATTTATTTCTCCTTCAATTAATATTTGTCTTGACTTGATTTATTTGTTTATTTATGGTAATATAATATAGGTGAATATTTCATTTAATTAATTATTACTTTCCTTATATGTACTAACTGTTTTACTTTACTATTATTTTAATTAATAATTAATATTTCATTGTCCTATTTAGTGATCTTATATTTGGTAAAAGAATAATTCAAAATAAATCTAATTTTGGTTCTCTTAAAATAAAGAAATAGTATTAACTGATCTTCTTTTCATTAATATTTGGTTTGATTAATTCTTACTTATTTGTTTATGACAATCTTATTATTTTCTTGTCATATTTAATTGTTCATATATTTGGTTAAATTTTTTAAAACTTTCTGATTTTGGCTCCTCTTTATTTATGGAGAAAATATTTTGCTCTATTAATTTATTCTTACCTGTTTATATTTGGTAATGAAATATTCTTATAATTTTCTGATTTTAGCTCCCCTCTAAATTAAGGAAATAGTATTATAA